GTCGGCATGTCGGCTTGTCGGCTTGTCCCCACCCCCCCCCCCCAACGCTGTAAACCTTGGGGAAACACTGCTGTTCACTTGTGTGTTATCGCGGTCGAATAGGCTGAAAAAACGTCCTGTTGTGGTCCCCAGTCGTTGCTAGGGGTTGACTGACAGGTTGGTGAGTTGTAGCTGTTTGCCAGGATGTTTAAGGCTTGCCTCCTCTTCGCCGATCTTCCTGTTTATGGATTGATCAAAAGTAAATTTGAGAGATAATTTTCAATGTGTGCCACTGAGCTTCGTAACACCTCTTCAGAAAACAATGGATGACATCACTGAGACTATGTCCATGTTTTATACATGTTTTACATTTGGTTTAGTGGGGCCAAGTGTGCCTTCTTCAGTGTGCTTAAATCTCAAAGAATTAGCCCATATATCAGGTAGGAAATATATCTGGTTTGGCTAGAGATTGAAGGTCATACTACTGCTGCGTTATCGATCAGGTGATGTGAAGGATGATCGTACGAGAGAGAGGGACAAAATAAGTGTTTGTGTCTGTTTCAATGGATGGCTTGGCCTTTTGATGTTTCTATGGCAGCTGCAAACTAAGGCATGCTGTGGTTGCTATGACGATGATGTGTGTGTGGGGGGGGGGTTTGCACAATGTGTGTGACTTGGAAGTGATGTGAGGTTGAGTGTGGGCTAGTATTTTTGTTACAACAACAGCTATGGCATGCTGTTAGAGTGTGCGACAGATGCTCATTGGCAATTGTGTGAGTGTGTGTGTGCGTGTGTGTGTGCGTGTGTGTGTGTGTGTGTAACAAGGGGGTCTTTCACATTTCTAAATTGAGTTAAATGACCCCCCCCCCAAGATAAAGAAAACAAAGCCAAAAAAAAAACATCCCATCAAGTGTACCCCAGCCTTCTCTCCCCAGAGATACATTTCTGGGTCAGTAAGCGTCACCCGGGACGACGTGTGGCGGTGGAAGCGAGTCTCTGGCTTCAGTGACTTTTGGAGTTTGCCATGAATTATAACCTAAAGGCTCCGGGGGGATGAAGCGGGCTGGCAGCGGCTGAAATATGGCTGCGGTTTTGTTTGCTGTGATATATGGAGGCAGCAGTGCTAGCCACGCTACACTGCTCTCTGGTTGCACTTTATTTCTCAGCACAGAAATTACCGTGCTTGTTTATGTAGGGAGAACAGAGGGCAGAGGTAATTATAGTATAATGGTGCATGGGGAGCTTTGTGGTTGGGTGAAGATGGAGAATTAATAACTAACCAACCTTAAGGCTTGTTTTAATAAAGAAAAGGAGAAGGGAGCAACAGATTCTAGTTGGCAAGCTGTTACCTTGGGTGTTCATGTTTGTATCGACATGTGAACAACATTTGATTTGAGAAGAATTACCTGAAGTAGAACTATGAGACACATCAGAATAATATTAAATCCTGATGTGAAAGACCATATCATCTGAGTTTGATACATATAAAGATTTCATCAAATCAAAACCTACATTGCCATGAAATATATCAGTTGTGAAAGTGACTGCTCTGTGGAATGAGAAATAAACCACTTTTATCATCATTTTATAAATCTTAGCACTCACACAGGTAGGATGAGGAAAAGAGTTACACAAGAATCATAATGCTTGAAAGCAATCCTGATTATTAATGCTCAGTACGTTTTAGGTCCTGACCCAGATAATTCCATGATCTAAATCTCGCATGGCCTGCATCTGTCAGCCTTTTTCATTATCAGTGCATTAGCCATCATTTTCTATTATTAATTGCGTCAACCACAAGTGGAAGTATTACAGAGGAAAGTAGAAGCACAGCATGCTTTGCATCTTTGCTTGAATTTTGACATAAATTATGTACCAATTGACAAAATGCTCCCAAGTAGATACACCTAGTGATTCACTGGTTGTTTCAGCTGTAGGGACAATTGTTTGCTCTGTCAGATTGTCTTCAAATCATCACGTTTAACTGTTTAGTCTATAAGGTTTGGTATGGCTGATTGGGTTAGGACAAGTCAACTTTATTTATATACACACAACACTGTTGATCCAAAGTGCTGAGCAGTACAGATAGAAAAAAAACAAAGCTTAAGAAAGTACCAGACAAGAACAACAACAATCCTAATGAAAGAACAATTATGTACATTTTTACACAAAGCTTACAGAGCTATGGATCCTTGAGCTTGATGGGTTATTGACACATGAAGGCAATTGAGTAGAAATATGCTTTAAGGTGAGTCTTAAAAACACCAGCCATGGGTGAGAGACGGATGTTGGGAGTCCAGAAAAAGAAAAAGCCCGACTCCCATTACACCTTGTACTGGATGATGAACACTGATAAACAATTTTCATTTTATAAACGAGGTTATTGTAAAAAAATTAATTGTATTGGTGTAGTACTGTTTTCATGTAATATGCAGATCTGAATACTTTGCTAATTGTGAGATCTCTTTTGGCTTTTTGTTGTTGATAACTCTAGCAACAGAGAAAAAGTCAACCTATTTTTTTCCGACCGTAAAAAATATGTTACCTTTTGCAAATAACTTAAACGATTTAATCTTTTTGAAAAGTTGCAGATTTATTATCTGTCGATTAACAGAGAACATCCTGTAAAAAATCCAACCTAATATTAAACACAATATAAATGTATTTTAAAAGAATAATGTGTGGGTACAAAACTCATGTTCATCTTTTTATCAACATCTGTACGATAAGTCCAAGCTCTGATAGTGCGATCCAAAAAGACTTATTTGACGTTTTGTGTATCGTCAAGCTGTAACCTAAATGTAATCATTCACAAATGTAAATCATTTATTTAACAAAGCACTTCAGATACTTACATTAATTAAATAGAATAAAAACCACAATGAGGCTCCACATTAACTAAGAAGCATTTACCAGTCTTTTGAATTGAATCCAGCCCTGGTCCCTCTCCAGCATCATTTGTCTGAATAAATGTTAAGTCATTTGTTGTACTGATTCTTCCAGACTAGCTATTACTTTTCTCAAAGATTTGATGTCTCATTCTGGTTCACAACTCTTCATTCATTCTGGCTGCTTCAGTAGAGAGAGCACTCGCACCGGGCAGTCCTCCAGGTAAACAGTATAGAAGTGATGTGAGTGCTGCGTTCAGCACTATGATCCATATCTTCAGAATGTGGTCGGCCCACAGCTGTATACAATATAATAGATAGACGACCAGTGACTGAGCCACCATACTGAGGCTGCTGCAGAGCCTTATGTAAGCTCAGTGAAGTACACCATCAGCACTATTATCTGGTCTCCCGCTGCCGAGCTTATGGCTGAATTATATTAAGAATAGATGTATATTTTTCTTCTCCTCCAACTTTCTCCCTTGTTAATGGGCTCAGCAGCCCCTTAATGCCCCTTCTGTTTACCTTAGCTCTAGAAGTTTACCCTCCTGGCACTACTTCGCTCCTCTCCACTTCTTCTTTTCCTCTTCTGTTCAAGGTTTTGTATTCTTCCCTCTTCAATCTATTTTTTTTCTCCAAACTCTTCTTCTTCAACTCCTTGTCTCTTCCTCTTCTTTGCTGTAATGTTAATGTTCACTCCCACAATAATGTATCCCGTGTCTTGCTAAATTGTTTTTACTGAACCCCTGAAAAATAGCTCAATATCTGTTAAATGGATTCATATGTAGAGTCTGAGACACCCTGCTTTCGGTGCCATTGTTTGTTCCTGAGTCCAATACATTTTTCCCCTGAACCTCTTTCCCAACTTCGGTTTTGTATGCTTACAAGCTGTGAATTTTTTGGAGACCAACATCTAGTATCTCATAGTTGCCAAGTGGATAGAAATAATATACAATATTACTACAATACTTGGCATGAATGCTACTGTCTTTGTTTGTATATCTGTCGGAGCGTCAGAGCCTTTAAGAGACGGTCATTTAAGAGCCATTTAGTTCTTCAGAACATTTTTTGCTTTGACTTTTGGTATACAATATTTTCTTTTTTTTTAGAAAAAATAATGTGAATGGCTGAGCAGCTATTTCAAACTTGTATGTTTTCTTCACTGAACAAGAAAAATGTGTTCATCAGTAACCAGGGACTTTTACAAAAGAATTCATTGAGTTTACCAACACCAAAATGTTCCTCTTAAATATGCAGTGCAGACCTGTGACTGTGAGTCAAGATGCTGTGGTACTTGAACTCACCACTTCGGCCCGGGGAAGTTTCCCGTAGACAAATTAAAAACAATTTGAAACTCTTTCCTATATCTTTATGTATGCTCAATATGTTTGTCAAGCCAAAAATTAAAATCTGTGCTTTCCTCATGGTGTATCTGAGTGTTACCATGGTAACATGGGATGTTGTTTTGAGTTGTCTTACCGAGAGGAAAGAGTTGCTATCCTCAATATTTTCTGTGAAACTATAAAGCTGAGATTAAATGTTTACAAATAAGAGTGACCGAACAGGATAGATAATTCTGAAACATTTTGGGGAAATTTTGGGTAGGAATTAGTCATTTCAAAATCAAACATCTTCACACACCCTAGCCTGAGCTGAACTTTGAAGTGCTAATAAGCAGATGTTAGGATGCCTGACTGTAATGGTTAATGTGGTAAAATGAATCTTCTAAACATCGGCATGTAAGCGCGTAGTGTGACCACCTTTTGTTAAATCAGCCTTTAGATACTTGTATACCTTTGATCTCTGTATGTTTTACTGGGTGTATTAGTGCTGTTTTTATTAGAACACAGTTTGGAGTTAATCTCCCCTTTTGATTTTTGTGTTTTCCTTTTAATTTCTGAAACATGTGTTTTGTTTTATTACATATTTGATCCAGCTACTCTATCTCTAACCTGTTGCTGTAAAGCCCTTTGTAACCTGGCTTTAGAAATATGAAATGTGGATTCAGTTTTATTATCAGTGTTCAGTATTTTTTGCTGATGTTATCAATTAGCTCAACGGTGTAAAGAGTTTAGATCTTTTTTCTTCCTTTTCTTTAACCTTGTTATTTTTTTCCCCTTGTCTTTTCTGCAGGACTGGGTTTTCCTCACTCGATTCTGCTTTCTCACCGACTTTGGTCGTTTGGACTTCCGGTTCCGCTACCCAAAGGTAGGACGACTTAATGACTTAACATGTGTCTTTGTTGACTTCATGCATTTGTTTTCCATCTTTTTATTTTAAATAAACTTTCCTCATTGCTTCAACCTGCCCACACTTTTTTTTTTCTTCATACTTTCTTTTCTTCATTCTTTCTCTACTTTAGATCTTTCTCTCCAGTAGTTTTCTCTCTTTCCTCCCTCTCACCTATCCTGATCCTTATCGTTACTTCTCCTCTCTCTTTCATCTGGCTTTTCCTGCTGTATCTGCCTCTCCCTTTTTTCTATCCCTTCCTTCTGCTTTTGCACCCTCGCCTGCTCTATATTTCTACACGTCTGTTTTGTTCTTCCACACTGTCTTGTTTTTCCCGTGCCTTGCCTTACTGTCATAGCCTGCAGACTTTGGAAACAGTTTTGGTCGTATAAATCTCAAAACGTCTCACTGCCTCCTCTGATCTATGTACTCGCTCTGCTTTCTCTCTCTGTCTCTGCCTCTCCTCTGTGCAGTCTCGCTGCTGTCAGAACATATTGCTCTACTTTGATGACAGCTCTCAGTGGCCAGCTGTGTACAAGAGGCCTGAAAAGGTGAGATACTGACACCCTCTGCATCATCTCTTTCGACAGGCCATTATTACAGAGAGCCTCGGCTCTTTTTACTTATCTCATGTCAGTGCTTTAATGAAAAAGCCCCGTGACTCCAATTTAGATAATTTTTGCGTTTTAAGTTGAACTAAAGGATCAGACGCTGCTCAGAATAAAACAAAGCTGTCTTTCTCAGTTCCTGAAAGGCCTTTCTCTCGCAGGCAGTGATTTATTATTGATGGTACACGCAGTGATCAAGGATGGTGCAATCCATATTTGTGAACAGAGAGCTCTGCCTTTAAGTGAAGCTTCTCCATAAGAAGTGACGGCAAGAACACTTTCTACGGAGAGATGTCAATATTTTGTTCAGAAACTGGTAATACTATAATATGTAGTTCTGTGTCTATAGACAAGTACTTGAAAACACAAGATTTAAGTTAAAACAGGAATTCAAAGTTAAAGGGTTACTATCAGCCAATTTCAAGGACTTTTACATCCATATTGGATGAATACTAAAGGAATGATAAGCCTGCGTTTATAACAATGAACTTCAAAAATAAATGTGTTGTGTCTGTGTTTAAAGTGTTAAGGCCAAACTAAAGAAATATAAATTTCAAGAATGAGAGTATAAAAAGAGAATGAAGTTGTTTTAATACGAGAACGTTCAGACTGCCATTAGACCATTTTTCAGCTTCATTGTCTTGCACAATCCTTTGAGTCCTGATAACTCTGCTAAAGAGGGCCTTACAAAGAAAAAGTTTGAGTATGCTGTTGTTTGTGAAACCTCCATTCAATTTAAAAAAAAGTCCACTTTCGCCATTTTAGCCCATATAGCTGGCTGCTCTTCTCATATTCATAATGACATATAGTCCAACCACAACCTAAAATTACAATTTTATTATTTAATATTCAACTTACATATTTTATTTTTTCCCTCTTCTGTGGTCCTTATATTACAGGGTATACAATAAAGCTATGATTGCTATTGATATTGTCCACCACGATATATCACTGGCTCAATAAAACTTTTATAACCTTGAAGGCTAGTAGTCAGCGCTTCAGCCTCATATCTATTGTTTTAGTACCAATCCAATGTGCTTGAGAACAGATCAAGATAAAACTATAGAAAATGCACCTGCTCCCACAAACTGTAATAAACAGAGTGCAATCTATTCTGCATTTGGTGGGTTCTCAAATGCACATTCCCATCCGGTCTACATTCAGTGCTTGATCCCTTAATTTTCAGTTTTTGTTCCGAGATCTTCAGCTTTTAAAGTAGATAGAGCAGACTCATTTAATATTCACATCAGCTATAGGAGCAGCATGCATGAATCCTTAATCCCTGTTGCATTCAGCTGTATGCTCCAGTCAGCTGATGCAGTGAGATACAGCACGATACAGTCTATAAAATCAACATTAAATTGCTTTCACATCCAATAAATAATATATAATGTGAATGTTTTTCTGTAGGCAGACATTTGTACTCTCCACTCGCCCAGTTTAAAGCTGCACTTAACCAGCCAAGTGTTTTTTTTTATCCACATACAGCATTTTATGGATTTGTTTTATGGTTGTGTTATTTAAATCAGACCGAGTTTCTCAATAAGAACTGTTTGGTTTAGATATTATTTTGTGATATGTGGACCATACATAAAAATTCAGATTTGAATAGTTCGACACTGTCAGAAAGTAGAACAAGCATACATTTTTTGGCCCATGTCGTCATTTGGTTGTGAATTCTTCCTGCTGACATCTTTGGACAGATAGATGTGACATTATTTATGTATATTTCCAGCACAGCCAAAAATAGTACGCCATTTGTCAGCTTCCCGACCAATATTTTTTATGTCAGTCTCCCAAAATCAAATACTGTGGCCTTAATTCTTCATTTCGCAATAAGATGCATTGAGCAGTCACACTGCAAGAAATCCATCAAAGGGGAGACAAAGAATATCAATTTCAATTCCCCTCAGCAGATTCAATAGGTTACGATTACAGTTTGATTAAACATACATATCAGTTTCTTGACCAGAAACTCTCTTATGCCTCATTGCTGCATTTTTTTATTAATATGCATACATCTAAATGTGGGTGTAAATTGGAGCGACATGCAGCAAGCGTGGGCCCTGTATCTAAGCTTAATTAAAAAAATATTTCATTATTTATGTGTGAAAAAAAAAAAGACAAAATGTTACATCAGGATTTCAAATTCATCTAACTTCGTTTATCTTGTTGTGTTTTTTTTTCTGTCAGAACTGCTACCAGAAGGAAGCAGTACTGAGGCCAGAGAACAACCAGGTCATCAACCTCACAACACGCTACACCTGGTCAGGCTGTGTGGTAAGAATATGCACAAACACAAAAAATACTGAGCAGCATCCTGTCCTTGAGAACCTGACTGGATCTAATGCAGGGATGCTGTTTTGTAACTTAAGTTAACCTTGTATCTCTTTGTATTGTGATGTTCAGTGTACATGTGTTACAGAGAAACACAGTATACCATTTTATAACCACACAGTTAAACTTATTGTCATCTTTTCTTTTGCATGCTTCTTTTTGGTGCAAAGAAAACAGAAATATATAGAAAAGAGGTAAACAGAAAATGAAGAGAGAAAAGGAGAGATGGAGGAAGCTAATGGCCTCTGATGTGTTTTTGTAACATTTTCTGATTCACACATTTGCACTCTTGATGATGCATCCCAGGCAAACAGGAAAGGCCAAAAATACCTTTTTCTCCTGTAATACTTTTTTTAAAAAAAGGAAAAAAATCATTTTGTTGCTTTTTCAATAAGCTACACAATGTGTTTGTTTATCACATTAGGAAGTGTAATTGCCAGAGTGACTCTGTTGTTGTGGCTGTTAGTGGATTTTGTTGACACGTTTCAGGCTATATCAGGGTGTGAAATATGTTTGTGTCTCGATATTTCAGTCTCCCACTCTACTGTGATAATTCAGAGTGTCTCAGAGGTAAAATGCAATGCCTTTTCGGATAACGACACCCACCTCCCTTTCTCATGCATGTTCTTATCTTTCTCTCCATATCTCTCCTTCTCTCAGGTGGAGGGAGACGGGAACGAGGAGGTTCTGAGCTGCGTGGGCGGTCGTAGTTTCCGCTCGGTCAGGGAGAGATGGTGGTACATCGCTCTCAGCAAGTGTGGGGTAAGCATTGACCTCTGATGCCACCGTGACCCCCCACTGGCTGTTTCTCCAGATAAGGGCATGGCGGTTGCCATGGCGACGGATACAGACTACAGACTCTTAGGGCTCACACACAAACACATGGAGTCACTGTCTTTGTTTTCTACTGCTGCAGATAAACAGACTTCATCATCGTCACCCTTTCTATCTTCTTCAATCCATTAAAAATTAAAATCAGATTATTCGTTAGGGTTATAACTGATAGAAGAACAGATTATAAACATTTCAAAAGAGGTTTTGCAGTCAAGAACAGAAAGTTAAACTTGATAAATAGATTTCAGTGGCAAGCAGCAGCACTGCACACTAAAATAGGAAAGCTCAGGCGTGAAATATACTCTGCGCACCTTGGATGTTTTAGGGCAATCTTTTTTTGTGCTGGCCCCTTTTTAAAATCTAACCCAATTTGAGCTTAATTTCTGTCCCAGTTTATGTTTTTGAACATTTTGCACCAGACTACATCTTAAAACCTTGAAGTTAAGCAGTGTCAATAGGAAAAATTGCATAGAAGCTTTATCTCTGCGATTGAGTTAGACAACAACTTGGACAGATAAAGATACGGATATGAAGATTTTAGTTTAGAAAACTGGTGTTTTAGTCAAGTTAAATATCCCTCTAATGTCATCTATCCACATATAAGTTACACAGTTGAATAAAGGTGTCTCTTATAGACCAGCTGCTAAGAAAAATAGTGCATATAACAAAAAAATAAACCAACAAATCAACATACACTAGACAAACAAGACTGTGAAGGCGGATGCTGCATATGACTACTCATACAGTTCTGCTATATGTTCTGGTGTAAAAGAAAAATACAGATTCTCCTGAGGATTACCAAATGTTGTTATACATTGTAAACCTCTAAACCCCTAACTTCCTATCCCCCACCTGATCTCGTATCTGTGCATCTCCCTGAATTGCCTGCAGACACTTTGAAGTGCTTTATCTCTCTCCAATGCAACAACACTTTTGTACAACACAGCACAAAGTCTCTTAAATTGCGACTGTGCTAAACACGCTTACAAGGACTTCAATGTAGCCTATTAATTAGGAAGCTAGGGGAACTTTGGAGCCTGTTGTTGTTTCATGGGGACTTAGAGTTGTGCTAATGGTGTGCCAGGAGAAGAAGTTGGAGCTGCCGTGCGTGTTGTTTGTTGATGTGTCTGGACTCGGGCACTCGGTGAAGAAATCATAAGCTCGTATAACGATAGCTCAGCTCAGTGATGATACATCCTCCTACACCAAGGACTTCAGTCAAGGACGAATCTCAGGAAAAAGTGTGTGTGTTGTTTTTTATGTATGTGTGCGGTGTTTTCATGTTTTTGAGAGTGGGTGAGGATAAATAAGTAAGATTTCTGCTGAATTTGAATCACTGCCTGACTGCCTATCAGAGTCATACTCTGGGTTACTACAGTGCCATGCCCGTGGTCATGATTCTGTTTGTTTTTTATTTTATTTTTTTCATTTTTTTGCTGTCGGTTCATAGCACTGGGCGAAGAGGGATCTGATTAGAAGGGATGTATCCTGCACTGTGTGGTTTAGTGTCACGCCAGCGCCGGCTGATAGACACGCTGCCTAATGCCGTTGGACTCAAGTATAAAAGCTCGTCTCAACTCCCGGGGACATATGTACGCCAAGCCCTGCAGCCAATTTCCACCCAACGTCTCCCGCCACTTGGTTTCTCCCCTCCCATTCACGCCTCTCTGTCTCTCCTACCTCTGTCGCTCACAATCTTTCGCTACGTCCACCTCTTTTTCAGCTCCCTGTCTCCAGCTTGTGATGTGTTCCACGCCATTTCATATCTATTTACCTCTCTGTCTCCTGCTCCTCTCTGTCAGCTCGCCTCTAATTGTGTTTTTCCTCTCCATCTTGCCATCTCACTGGTCTCATTTTTTCATTCCCTTTCACTCATTTCATGCATTCTCTTTTAGGTGATTCTTCTTATTTTCTTCTCTTAGTCCATGTTTCTCTCTTACCCATTTCTCCTTTACTCTCCTTTCCATCTCTGCATTTACCTTCACTAAAGTGGGTCTAACTCTATATTAGCTCATGAGCTATTAAAAAACCAACGGATTTCTATTCTGAATCCCCAGATGTTGGTATGCTTGCTTGAGATGGTAAATATTTGAGGTTGATCATTATCTTAACAATTCCAAGCAATTTCACTTGAACACTTATAGCTTGAACTCTCAAGGCTGCAAATAATCATTATTATATCAGGGAGAAAAAACTCATGATAATCAAATCTAAGGTCATTGCAAATTTCAAAAGAGTTGACCTCTTGCAGTCAACATCAATGTTTTTAAGACAATTAAGTTGTAGCATCAATCACAAAATAAGATTAACTTTCATTGATCCCTGCAAGGGGAAATTTCAGTTTTTACACTCTGTAAGTCATGAACACACACATGCAGAAACAGGATCCTATGGACATGCACTAATGGAGAGATGTCAGAGTGACGGAGCAGCCCACAGTGCGCACTCCTGAGCTGATGGTGGGGAGGGGGTCAGCAGTGCTCAGGAGGTGATCTGGCACTTCTCCATCTACCAGACCAACTTCCATATTTGGTCCGCACCGGGACTTGAACTGGCAACCCTCTAGTTTCCAACCCAAGTCCCTACAGACTGAGCTACTGCCGCCCAAGTAAACTTAAATGTTGCTTTTATTCTACAGTTTGCTCTTCATGGCTAGTGTTTGAGTTAATTTTTAACAGGTAATCAAACCTAGGTAAAAAGTACAGAAAGAAACAAACTAAAACACAAACTAAGGGGTGGCTGTGGCTCAGTCTGTTGAGCCATTTCCTCTTTACCAGAAGGTCAAGGGTTCAATTCCCATCTGGGCAACATGTCCAATGTGTCCTTGGGCAAGACACTCAACCCTACATTGCTCCCCTGCTTTGGTGGCGGTGTATGAATGGATTAGTGTTGTACTTACTCTCTGATGTACATCACTTTGGATAAAACTCTTAGCAGACGCTAAAGGGAATTGTAACACTGTAACAAACTTAGCAGCAGACAGATGACAGATCAGAGCCCCCTCACCCACAGAACCAGATTTGATATGTAATTAGGCTTTTTTTTTGTATCGATATCTGTCAGGCCTGACCAATAATGAAGCAAAGGAAGCTACGCCACATTTCAGTAAATTTGGACAAAAAGTATTTCATTTTGGCTAGCATTAAATCGTATGAGGCTGTAGCAGGCATTAGTTTGGTCCGGTTCTTATAGAGAAGTGTGCTTGTGTTTTTCCAAGTTCATCAGCATAATCCTGGACGTGTTAAGAAATTCTATGAAGCCTAACCCAAATTGTGCCTTTTTAAGTCATCTCAAATAATTGACCTGTCTCCTAGAAGACAAAGATCTGTGCTTGGCAAAGGTTGATCCAACCACTCCATGACCACTTTGGTCCAAAGTGAGGAAACCAGAGGGCAATCGCACATAAAGTGTAAAAATGTACCATACTCATTACTCTGTATAAGACCAATATTTGTAAGTCCGACTGGAGTCCAATAGTGTCTATGAAATGTTTTATATATTTACTCTTACTATCCCTTACTTACCAACCCATATTAAGGACAATGTCTTCCCTGACCTAATTTAAACTCCATATCCAGGTCCCTCTGCCAGATCTGTCTCAGTCTCTTACTTTTCCTATTCAAAGCAATTGATACAAAATACAAAGATCCAGCTCTGATAGCATCTATGTAGCAGATTGAAGCTTCAAAGTTTTAAAAAGGGAAATGACCCCTACACTTGGTATGGCCTTTTCTTAAAATATTTTTTATTTAAAGATTTATTTTGGGCTTTTCGCCTTTATTTAGATATGACAGAGGATAGAGTAGGAAATCGGGGAGAGAGAGTGGGGAGTGACTTGCGGGAAAGGAGCCACGGATCAGACTTGAACCCAGGCCACCTGCTTGGAGGACTAAAGCCTCCGCATGTGGGGGGCAACCTTACTGCTCGTCCATCAGCACCCCAAGGTATTTCCTTTTTTGATTAGTAACAAATACATAGAACTTACATTAGCATTAATTGCTGATAAACAGAGTAACTCAATAAAGAGGCTTCATTGTTTGCAATTGACCTTTTTCACGAGGCGTTTATTCTCCCAGCCTCTCAGACTGAAGTGGAAAACTAGAAAAAAGGAGGAAATCTATGAATGGCTGTTATCAACTTCTGCTTTATTATTCACAGCTGAAGTGCTGATAATGAGTAAATTGCCTCAGCAGGGAGCAGGGGAAGCTCCGAATTTGGCGCAAGCCACAATAATGGCCGACATTTCTGAGCTGCCAACTTGGCAGGTGACTCATCGTTAGTGAACAAACACACCCACCTCTGCTGTTCTCTGTTCAGGTCCCAGTCAAAAAGTGATCAACTATATCTCTCCTCTGGAACACAGCCACATATAGAAGAGAGATTGTTGAGATGTTTCCCAGCGTGCCAGTTTAAAATCGCTGCACTGCTCTAAAGTAATAATTAATGAGATATAATAACAGAGGTATTTTGACAGTGTTGCAAGTCCCCTCGGATAGATGCTCCCCTTAAATGAAATAGAGACCAGATTTGTTATAGTAGATGAGTGTGTCTCACAATGGAATCCTTGAATAAGAATAATATTAGGTTTGTATTTATATTTATTGTGCTAACTAACTAACTTATTTTAGTTTGTGAACAAACAACTTAATCTGCTTATCTTTACTCCCTTTACCTTCTGTTGTCATATCCACAAACGCTCACACACACCCACACAAACACACACACACACCCCATGTCCCTGCTCCTCTTCCTTCTCCATCCTCCTTCCTTTCTTACTCACAACGACTTGTCCTGCCTTGCCTCGTACGTACATTTGAGATAGCCTACATTACTTGTGTTTCAACATGTTTCACTCAATATTTCGTTATCAGATCAGGAGATCTGATCTTCTCTTTCGCTCTCATGCTGTGATTTTATGGATAAACCAAAAAAGAGTCGGGAAATATACTTGGGCGGCCATAAATAAACCTGGGTGGCCTGCCCAGGTATCGTCTATGTGTGGGAAACACTGATCTGTAAGTGATGACACACTCTGTGCAGGATGAGATTACATGTTAATACTTTTGTTGTCATATTCTAAGAAGATTGATTGTTTGCTTTGTTTTATTGCCAGATTATACTCAGTCCATACTGAGCATATGGCTGTCAGTGTTATTCTGTTCTGTTGTTTTATTTGATTGTTTTGGCCTCTTAGTTTGAATCAACTGAAGTTGTATTGATTTGCTACAGCATGCAACAATATTTTACACTTCTCATTTGTTTGGGGTAGAGCCTTTTTTGTCTAAAGATGATAATGAACAGTGAGAGATGTTCCAAAACCTTTCTTTACCTAGATACCTTTATGGATACCTAGTCTTAAAAACAATGAAAACTTAGACTTATATTATACATAATATTGGTGGAAAAAACACTGATTGCGGACATTTGAGCATTTGCTAAGCACCCAATTTATTGTTGATCATTTTCCTGAAATGATTTTATTTTGAAGGTAAATGCATCAGATTGATGCACTGGTATATGATTGGTACTGCAGTTTAGGCACTATAGCTGTAATACTGTTGTGTTTTATGAAACAACTCCAGCACCATAGTGATGTCTGTAAAGAAATTATGTTTTGAGTTTGTTGTTTGTAAATTTGGCTGTTGTGCACTGAATCCAGAACAGATTTGTAGATTTGGAATAATTGTAATAGCAATGGAGTGACATCGTTAAAATCACACTTTTTTTAATATATCTATGTATCAACATTCAATGTTAGACCTTCAGTGTTGACAACAGACAATGCACACTCAATGTTTCAGAGAAACTCTCTGGTGGTCGGCCTGGTCTGTAAGCTGTAGCCTATCATTTAACTTTCCTGAGACAAGATGGACAGTCTCAAAAGGCTCTCAGAAATCCTTTTACATGCAGTTATCTGCAGCCCAGGGGAGCACATGATGTTCACACTGCACAGGTGTTTGGTCGAGAACAGCTTCAGAGTGTGACAAATCAGTACAGGATATCAAACGTGGGCGACTGAAACCAAAAAGAAACCCCAAAAATCTTACTGTGCTGCTCTGTGGGACTGACGGGGGGTCCCACGGAGAGAGAATCCCTGCGGTGTGAAGTACTTTTTTCTCTTTTGCATCCATCTCTTTTCCCCTCTTTGCATTTACTCCTTTTTCATAATTTTGCCTCCCTCTCTACCTGTTTTCTTAACTTCCTCCCCTCTCTACATCTATCACTCTCTTTATCTCTGTCTCCTTTCTCTTTGTGTCTGTATTGATTTTGTGGCAGTGCACGCTCCACGCTTCTTGCCCTTTTTGATAGAGGGAGTGAGATGGAGTTTCAGGCTGCCAAATGAAATCAAAGTCTTTTTTCTATCTCCTCCTTTTCCCTCGCTCCAACGCAACAAGCTCAAACTCCATCGGCTTTGAACTTGCGTGTGTGAAATGAGCTCTCTGTGCTCTGATTGTCAACCCATCTCTGTCCCCCTCCTTTTTAATTCTCGACTCCCCATCGCTCTGTTTCTCACCTCCCACATTCTTTTCAATTTGACAGTTTTTTATTTGTGCGAGTGCAAAAAATTAACATCATCCCATCAGTGGTTTAACACACAGGTATGTCCTTTTTCTCCTCTGTATTTCTGTTATTCTGCAAGTTCACCTACCTCAATATTCTCTTTTGTGCCCTCTCACAACATCTCAGTGCAGAGCAATTGCATCTGATCAACCTATAATTATTCGGAGCCTGAGAAATAATTGATTTCCATGCCACTCTAAATATTAATAATGAAAAACGGGAATACTCTGCAGTAAATCAGAGAAAACTTTTGCTATGATCCATCCTTCCTCTGTTCTATTAATCTGGGTCATCTTCTCATTGAGCAGAGCAGCCTACATCCCTTTTTATTCCCCCTCTCACTTCCTGCACACACCTGGGGCATCCCGAGGCACTTTCAGGCCAGCTTTGGGACTGACTGGCTATATGGAACAATTAAACTGAGCAGCAAAATCGAAAGAGTGTCCCTCCCGGAGGAGGTTTTGATTCTTTCTTCTTTCTAGTATCAGAAGGTTTAGAGGATAACTGGATGTTCTTCAACTTTAAAGTGTGAAGGAGTGGTTTTATATTAGAATGTGGTAGATTAACCGTCTTTAATCAAATGACATTGTGATGTTAAAGCTCCTGTATAGTTTTAATCCAGCCATGAAACAGACTGACGCCCCTGACGCCCCAGATGTGCCCTAAAAAAGCAAATGACGACATCAGAAAGAAGAAGGATTACTTCTATATAGTACTTTTATACCCCTGTCACTCCTGCAGTGGGGTAGGTGTCTAAGTGATAAACAGCCTTTGTTTACATTATCCACAATATCATTCACAATGAGCAATAATTATGAGTGTTAAAAGACATCAGGATGAGATTTTTTCTTTGTAGAGAAAACACTGCATCCGCATGTACAGGACGAGATTAGCCAAGAGATAAGAGGTAGCGATAAGAGCCACAGGGGGCGCACAAATCAAACCAAACTGATTAATTTAGTTTTTGCAACAAAAAACTTTAATCTGCTCATCTTATCCACGCACAGACAAAAACACCAGGAGTACACCTCACGTTTTGAAAAGTTCTACTCAATATTCAGTTTTTTTATAGGAGTTCGGCACAGCATCAGCAGCAAGCAGCTGTACATAAACATTTTTAAAATGAAGCCATGAGATGCTTCAGTTTTGATAGGAGCAAGGCACCTCAAGCAGTGCATTTACAAGAGGGATGTACGGACAGTTGACCTTCTCTCTCCCCCTCTCTCTCTCTCTCTCTCTGAAGCTGATGTGATGCTGTGTCTTATCTCTTTGCAGGAGTCGAGAAGGATTTTTTTTTAAAACAGGAGTTTTGTTATGTTGAACGGAGGCTCACAGTTTTATCATTTCGCTTTTAGCAAAGTGTCGTACACACCTTTTTACCACTTGACTTTTTAAAAAGAAAAGTCCTTACCACTACATGCAGTTTAACATTTTAGTTGGATTTATTTATATGATGTTGTTCTCATGCTCAAATATTGGATGAACGTGCCAGTCCAACCCCCTAAAATCTTCTCATATTGTATTGAAAATATCTATCGGTACCAACATGATGTGATCCATGGTTTTGCCTCTATTCCCTGTTTCATTGTTTTTTACTACAGTCTTGGCGATGCATCACTGCGATGCTGCTTTTAAATGTAGCTAATACCCTTTTTCCCTTCTACCGGTAGGTCCTAAAGGTGTCCATTTTCAGATATATCATGTAAAGAAAAATGTCACTAAAGAGCCACCTCTCATTGCCACTTCAACCTGCAAAATTGTCCAGCACAGCTTTAAGCATTAATGGATGTTTGTAAAGATCAATGTAAGAGAATGCACTTTTAATCTCACCTGCCTCCTCTCTCTCTTTGTTTCTCCCTCCTCTTCCCTTTCTGGCAGGGCGATGGCTTGCGGCTGGAGTACGAGATGAAGCTGACCAATGGCCAGTCTTTCTGGACGCAGCATTTCTCTGCAGATGAGTTCGGTAAGAGTGATTAGACAGAAAGAGAGAGATTACCGAACGAATCGCTGATGGCACAAGCCAACACCACTTAGCACGGCCAATAAAGCACACTGAACTGAACAAATTACAATAATGAAGGGACGGCTGAATGAATTAATGATGATGGATGAACTGTGAGGAAGGGATGAAAAGAAATAGGGGCCCAAGTAGCTTCTAAATGAATTATTCCAACATCCCCAATGTGCTTCTCTCTCTCTTCTCTACTGTATCTCTCTCTCTCTCTTTGCTGTTTAACTAATCCTACATCCTCATCACGTAACTGCCTCTGTGGATTTTTCATCCCTTCATTTTTTACCTTCCTTCCTTTATCATCCCCTCCTGTCTCGATATCCTCTGTACCTTGACTTTTTTACCTTCTGGTTTCCACCTCTTCTTTTGAACCTTAATTTCTCCTGTTTCCACTTTCCTCTGTTTTTTATTCTGTCTTCCATTCTCATCAATTATTTGGCTTCACTCCTCTTCTTCCTCCACCCACTTTTCACAGGTATCTTGGAGACGGACATCACGTTCCTGGTCATCTTCTCCATGGTGTTCCTCCTCTCGTGCTACTTTGCATGTAAGTACTGTCTTTTCCACTCTCTGTATCTTTCTCTCTCCCTCTTCTCTTTCAAAAACGCCAAATGTTCCTGACTTTCCAAGCCTGCAGCAGTCATTAAGTGCCCCTGTTTTGTTTTTTTATAAAAACGACATGTTTTCTTGAAAGGAGATGAGTAAGTCTTCATGTTTCCTCTCATAAGTAAAAGGTAAAGCATGTGCCTTTTTTCTCTTGAGCTGGGACTTTGTCAGAACAGAGCATGAGCAACATAAGAAGCAGGAGATAGAGGATGCTGAGTGCAGGGTGGGGTTTTTGTGTAAAGGTGAACGGTTGGATGGAGACGGTAGCATTAGCCTGAAGGTAAGTGAAGCAGGTTTGTCACACCAAGGTCACAGCTCAAATAGCCCAAAGCCAGAGAGAACCATAGCTCAGAGGAAAAGTTTACCTACAAATTAAAGCTCTGTCATTCCCCTTCTTCTTCTGCGTCTTCATCTTCTTTGTGTAAGGCAGACATAAAGACTTGATTTATCTTTTATTTCTCACGAGAAGGCCTGTTTTCCACCTTAACTCCACTCCACCCAGAATTTTGTCAGCTTAATCAGATTTGTCTGCTCATTACGAAGCTTCAACTTTTTGTTCTTTTTTTTGTTTTTTAATTAGTCTTCCACAATTCCCAAAGCACTACTGAGGGGCGTCAGAGACACACTGTTTCTTTTTTTCAACATCAAGCTGCTTTATTCAGTGTTTTCACTGGGGTTAGTCAAAGGCTCTGTTTGTTTTGGGGAGGAGGAGACCTCTGTGGGTATTTAGCTCCTGGTTAAAACCCTGTGAACAAAGTAAAATAAAAAACATCCTAACCTAATAACAAGGAGAGCACTTTGGAAGAAACTCGCAGCTAACCTCACCCACCCTTATGATGTCCTGTGTCAAGTGAAGACCATTGGACAAACCCTGACATGAAACTCTTTCTCAGTGTTTTTGATTATTTTTATCACCTGACCTGTTAGTTTTTGAGAGGAGGAGAGCTCTCTGCTTTGACTAAAAACCTTGAGTACAAGAATCATTTTGAGGCTCAATTAGTGAAGTTGACTTTGTTCCATGCGTCCATGCTCGTCATGTTTTTCCAGAAAGATAGCTTTGATTTTATTTCTCAACATTTTAAAAATGTGTGTCCCTGAGATTTCTGCAGCGTTCCAATACAGTGAAGTGGAATATCGTGTGTGTGGGTCCAAAGCCATTAAAAATGTAATTTGAAAAATTCTGCAGCAAGGATTTCTCTGGATAATCAGCAGAACACAACATCAGTGATTACTACAGGGACTATTTCTTTGGTTGAAACCATTTTCTACATAGAAGATTAGATTCATCATGGTAACAAGGACACTTTTTATATTCTATTGTATTTATTATGTTTTGACTAGCACTAATGAAACGCCTTTGGGGGTATTTTGTTGAAGTGAAGGTGGAAATCTCAAACAAACTACCGGCATGAAGAGAGAAATAAGTTTATGACAAAACTAGTTTTACTGTAAATCGAAAGTAATGTAGATAATGAACTCCAAAATTGGAGTAAAATTGCTCTTAAAAATCCTCAAATGACCTCCTGTGGTGTCATTATTATTTTTAAGTAAGTATATAAGTTGCAAATGGAATTCCTTTCATTACTTTGAACACAGGGGGTTATGGAGAGTTTATTCATCGCTTTGTTCGCCGTACTGCAGAGGAATAAGACTTCATAATGAGGAGCAAATACATATTTAGACTCTGCTGGAGTCTTATTGTGATTTTATGCAGATTTGATGAAGCCTTTGAATTAACTGCAGTTTCTTTGAATGTGTATGTTCCTTCTGTCAGCTTCTTGGGGATATACACTGACATGAAGGCTTCAGCTTTAATGATTTTAACTTAAGTTGTATGCACAAGTTCAAATCTAACAAACGACATAAAAACAAATGCATAGTGTTGTGCAAATACAGGGGGGGAAAGGCCTAAAGGGACTTTTTCATTACTTCTACCTAAATGAAAACATTTTTTGCAATGTCGAAGGAGTTTGCGGACAATGGAAGAGACAGACAAAAATGTTTTTAAAAAAGTTACTAAACATTCAAGCCAGGAGGAGATGACAGGATTTTTATTCATGGGACAAATGTTCTTGAGACAGCAATCACAGGAGGATTCAGCAGCCAAGCCGGTAGTTACACAGGGCAGCTGTGAGTGTGTGTTTATGGTCCGTCCTCCCACCGTAAATTTTCCCCTGAGCCTCCCCTGTTTGTAGGGGTGTTTGGTAGTAAAATTGCCTGCTTAAATACACATTAAAAATATTTCCGCCCAGATCAAGGCTGGAGCGAGCAGAGACGATGTATAATACCTCATCTAGTGCCGGAAAACACAAGATAGATGCATACTAATGGTCTCATCCCCCATTTATTCGGCCCCTTCTTGTTATTTCTTTATCTCCTCTCTGTCTCTCTCTCTCTCTGTACCTCTCTCACTCTCCTTCACCATCTGTTAGCATATCTCCATCCTTTTATCACTATGCCGACGCACACACCACACACAAGCGCACCTCAATCACCTCTATCTCATTCCTTTTTTTTTCTCTCTGCAGACAATCTGAAGGGAAGACAGCTTCTTCACACAACCTACAAAATGTTTATGACTGCGGCAGGTGTGGAGGGTGAGATGTCTTCCACAACACACACTCTCACACACAAACAGACACACACACACTCCAGATGAGGCTCTGGCACGGCGTCATCTCATACCTTAATCCCAGCTTCAATAGGCAAGATATTATCATCCTTATTAGCCTCTGAATGGGAACTATAGCAAACAGCAGTGCTGTGCTTCAGTGTTCAATGGAGCATGCTGATACTGACGAACATCCCCCCTCCTCTCTTCTGCTCCTGTCCCCCCCCCCCCCCCCATCTTGCTTTCTTCTCGCTTGCTTGTCCCCTCTCCAAATCCCTTCTCAATTCTCCTGCCATCCCTAAAATTCTCTTTCACCCTCTCCTCCCACTTCTCTCACGCCTTCTGCTCCTTTCATCAATTCCTCTTCTTTTCTGTCTCACTTCTTTTCTACTTCCTGCTCACTCTCTTCATTATCATCTCCCTGTCGCTTCTGTTTTACATTTATTCTTTACCAATTTCCTCTGACATGATCTACCAACTCTCTCTTCTCTTCTCTTCTGATCCAAATGTCCTCCTCCCTGCACCTTTTTCACTTGGCAGTGTTCAGCCTGTTGTTCCATTGTGTCTACTGGGGCCTGTATGCAAGAGACGGAGTGGGAAACGGTAGCCTGAAAATACTGGGTGAGTTATTTTCCTGCATCTGCCCTGAATGACTGAAACATTGGCTGACTGCCTGAAGGACTGACTTGACGTACAGATTGACTGACGCTGTCTCTGCGCGAGAGACTCACTCTCTGTCCGAGCAGAATGAATAAGTGGGAGATGACGGATGTGTTTGCAGGACTGGCAGTGCAATGGCTAGTTTGACTGGCATAGGAAGGATCATGCATGATTGTGTGAGTGTGGACGACATATGTGTGTGGTGACCTGGTTTTATCTCTCCCCTCTGATATAACAGATTTGGAAACCACAACCTAATTACCCCCTCTGTCTCCTCTCTCTCACTTTCTCTCTCCAGGGAAATTACTGTTCTCCGTCAGTTTCTTGGTGTTCCTCCTCATGCTCATATTGTTGGGCAAAGGTTTCACTGTCACCAGGTGAGGGGTTAACACTTTTTCTGCAGCCTACGTGTGTGTGTTGTTTAGATGTACAGTATTTCTTGTGTGTCTCTGTCTATGATTGTCACTTTGTACGGGTGTGTTTATGCTGCCACTGTCTCTCGCTGTTAGGCCGAGCTGTCACAGTCATAACACATTATCTCATGGCATGACAATGTTAGGTGTCAGTCAGAAAGTCAGTTAGTGTGCACTGGCTGTGACAGTTTGGATGAAGCCCTTATATGTTGTGAGAATGAGATAGATGGATGCCGTTTTTTTTTCTGCTTTTGTTCCAGCTGAAAATAAACATTTTCCCTGCAAAGCCAGCTGACAATGTTTTGGTTCCCTTGCTACTTTTTTTGGCGAGGCTTTGTGGACATTTGCGTGGGATAGCCTTGATTTCACAATAGATGAATCACGGATTCTGTCCTTGGCTGGAACATCGGCACACCTGATTGGACAAACCCCCTCCTTTCCCGTCTGTCAGCTGTCTTTCCAGTTGTCCAGTTAACGATAAAAAATCCAGTTATACAACAAGCCAGAAGTTCATGAAATTCTGTTTAATTTCTGCCAAGCTTCCCCCAAAAGAACATTTCTAAGTCAGTTTTATGTGAGAAGCCGGCACATTCATGCTTCTCAAACCTGAACAGCTTAAATAAATGGCTGCTCACAGGTTTTTCAGTTTTGATTAGCGGTGAGTCATCATCTAAGCCAGCGCTTGTAGTTTGATGATTTGTCCTGCTTCCGGCACAATTGAAATCTCTGCAGATTTTTTTCCAGGCTGAACTCCTGTAGTCAAAACTGAGCATGCAAGATTTAAGCTGGCTTTTTTGACTGTAGGATTACATCCTCCTCTGGCTTCAGAAGATCTCTCTCTCTCTCTCACGCTCACTTATTAAACCCTCTTTAAACCCCAGTGAATAAACATAAAACTGCATCTCCATCAAGCTAAAATAAATTACTGTTTATCTGCGGTAAATGATAAGTTGACAGTTTGGAGATAACTAACTGACACTGACTTTGATATTTTTCCTCTGATGTTTGAAGTTGAATCAGTCAGATAAAGCTTGTGTTTTGATGAAAGCTTAACGCAGAATTTCTTCCATTCGTTGACTGCCACTGTGCAAATGAAGAAGCCTTAATTTCTGTTTGTGAGTGCGGGCAGTCTTTTCAAAGCCAGCCGTGTCCACAAGCCTGTTTCCATTTTATATTTAGCAATCTCAGCAGTCCTTTGTGCTGTGTGCTGTGAATATCTGCTTTTAGATGAAGCTGTCTTTGCTTTGTGTGTAAAGAACCATGCATGATCTTTTTGTCGTTTTGTGTGTGGATTTGTTTCCTGTCTGACCTCTGAGTCTACTAATATGTGTGTGTTTGTTTGTGTGTCGTTGTGTGTCAGGGCGAGGATCAGTCACAGCGGGTCGGTTAAGTTGAGCATCTACATGACGGTCTACACAATCACCTACGTTATCCTGTTCATCTACGAGGCAGAGGTACAGCACTTCACACACACACACACATACACTCACACACACACACACACTCACACACTATTAACAACAATTCACTGTAAACAGTACTGGGGTAACAACTTTGGATATGACTCAATTTTTGTTGAAATGTTCCTTTTTAAGACTTGGGGTTTGTATTACTGTGTTGTATTCATTTTATCATAAAGATTTATGTTACTCTGAAAAATTTGAATTTGATACTTCAGCACAGTCAAAGCTGAACTCTAGCCTCCATTTTCCACACATAGATAGATTGGACATATTTGTGAGCATTTCTTGTCAGTTTCTAACTTTCTAAAAAATCCTTTCAATGATGAATAAAGTCAGGAAGAACAGAATTTGGCACACCAAGTTGAAGGGGAAAAAAGTATTGTTTTTTCATTTCAAGTCTTCACTTGTTCTGGTATCTCATATGTGAAGATTTGTTTCTATCTCTCATAACATGTTACTGTAATGTTAGTCATTGTGTGACAGAACAAACACAATGATTCACTTTTTTCTGACACTTCAGAGACAAAAGACTCCATTCCTGTGGGAATAAGGGACAGCATAAACAGCAGTAAAAACCATCTGTATGAGTCATTTTCACACTATTATTATTATAGTCGCAACAGTTACCGTACTTTAAGAGTCTACCCGGGTTTGGTGGTTAATGATTTTAATTCAGACACCCAGCTTGTAAAATAAAGTTCAAAGTTCGTCCTCTTTCAGATGTGACTTAAAAGCAGCGTTTGAGTTACACAGGGATAACTGAGTACGAGATTTGTCTGCAGTGCTGTTATTTCTCTCTTTGGCTTTTTTAATAATCTCATGAAGATTCATGGAAGTATGAGGCCCACACATCAACGTAGGCTGTAATGGCTTTTCCTGTCAACTCACTCATTACATTGATATATTGCTCAATATAAATATGCATCAAGTTGATTGTTAAGGGGGAAGTAATATGAAATGAGTTACAAATTATAGATCCAGACAGGCAACTTTCAACTTCAAGCACAAGTCCAGAGGTATTTACTACTGTACCTGAGATAAGTTCAATGAAATCTCTACTCAATAATAGATCAGGGACTGTTTCCTTGAGATTTCCTGAGATATGGAGATTAACAGTGAGACCTCCTCTCTCACTATACTGTGTCTCTATGTAGAGCTTATGAATTAATAACACACTCAGGAGTGTTACAGTTACATACATTGCTGCATAGTGCACAGGCCTCTGCCTGATTGTACATTACAGTCTTTGAATACAGCCTGGCAATGGTCCAGTGGGAATAGTGCAGTGAAAGGATCCGGGCTAAATTTAAACTGGAGCCTATAGCATCCCTCTCACTGCAATATGTGGTGGATGTGAAGCAGTGTGATTTATCCACTGCCTGCCCTCTTACATGCTCCCTGCTATTAAATAGCCAAACTCAGGGGAGCCTCAGCTAAAAATATGCCAAACTAGGTTACAATCAGAACTGAAATGAAGACTTAAGGTGTGTTTCTGGCACATGGCCTGCAGTTGGGAAATCTAGCAGGCTCTGGTTGGATCCCAAGAAGCTCCTCCACAGCAAGGTGCCAAACCTATGCATTATGTAGCAAGGGTAACCCTGTATGGTCATCGCTATCCATTCACTGGACTGTGAAATGCAATCTAGAGTCCGTAGACGTAAGAAAAGCTCCACACACATTTACCCAGAAACTTGCACACACACATTTCAACGACCTAGATGTGGAGGAGTGTCAATGTCAAAGACTCACACAGAGCTTTGGCTCGGTCATCTGGTGCATCAGCTTAACCTCGAGTCATCCATCTTATTAATTAGAACACAGATTACAATGTGTCATGAAGTCCTTTGTCTACTTTGTGTAAAAGTTGAGCTGGTGTGTTTTAGAATGTAGAAATGTAATGTTTTGCTACATTTATTGTTAATCGTCACATTGAGCCTTCACATCTGATTACATTAATGCACATTATCTGGATTATTTTCTCTGTTTATTGCATATATTTCCCCTCACTTTGCAATGCCGTGCACATTCCTGTACAACATGTTCAGCTCTATTTTTTCTCCAAATGGATACAATTTAACATATTTTATATTTATATGATTTATTGTTTTAGTGTTTGGACAGTAGGAGTAGCCTACTGCTGTTTTATTCCATTTCTATGTTTACTGTCCTGCACACTAAAATCACCTTGAACTATCCCTCTGTGTGTAAACCTACTTTGCTATAAACGCTGATTCAGATTCTGATGTTTCTGTGCCAGTTCTTTGACCCTGGCGAGGTCCTCTACGCGTACGACAGCCCTGCAGGCTACGGACTGATGGGCCTGCAGCTGTTAGCCTACGTGTGGTTCTGCTACGCCGTGCTGGTCTCCCTGAAACACTACCCTGAGAAACAGCCCTTTTACATCCCGTTCTTCACCACATACACGCTATGGTGAGACCTGCTCAGCTTCCCTCACTCTGCCCTTGCTGTGTGAATAATAGCACCTGAGCGGGAGATTGCAGGAGTAGGGAGATACACATTTTCTTCTGTTTGAGGTCTCTTCCATTTGAATAATTAATGCCGCTCTGTAAAAACAATGTGCACGAGATAGCTGATGCTTTAGCAGAGCGAGAATGAAAAGTTGTTTATTCCACACTACCTTTCTACAACAGTGTGTGCCCAAACAATTGTTGTACTCTAGCAAATGATTGCTGAGACAAAATATCAATTTTTCCTCAGCTGATGAGGTCTCTCCTATTAGAATGATGTATGCTGCTACATGTTTAAATCTATGTGTCAGACAGTTAAAAGCTCTGCACTGAGAAGTAGTGCTTTTCATTTACCCTGAGAAATACTCGTCTGCATATGCAGCTCGGCTCCTCTGCCCTTCACTCAGTCAGTATAATAGCAAGAGCTTGAAATGAAGAGTAGATTACAAAGACTAATATTATCTCTGTATTTCTCTCTCATTGCTGCCACTATCTCCCGCCTCATTATCTACGCCTCTCCTCTCCTCTCCTCCCAACTTTATCTCCCTCTGTGCTTTACATCTTTTTCAAACTCTCTCCGCCTCTCACCCTCAAACTCTTTTCTCATCTTTTTTTTCTTTTAATGTGGTTTTTCCACGTCGTTATCCTAAATCGACTCACTTGTCTTCCTCAGGTTTTTCGCAGTGCCTGTGATGGCTCTGATCGCCAACTTTGGGATTCCTCGCTGGGCCCGCGAGAAGATTGTCAACGGCATTCAGCTCGGCATTCACCTCTACGCTCACATCGTCTTCCTCGTTCGTACCACACAAAACACACGGAACACACACAAAACACACAAGCACAGGCTCTTGCAGCCCCTTGCACTTGTACATAGTTCACATTATTCAAGAGTCATTATTGCCATTGTCAGTCATACATTATTCACTATCCTTGAGTTATAACTGCCTCATGCTGATTGTCTCCCCCACACATAATTATCTACCTCCTCCTCACCTTCTTGGCATGTTGTTCTTCACTAATGGACAGCCTTGCTCCCACAAATGTCCTTTCATGGTCCTGCTCACTGCATGCATTGTAATACCTATTTCTTCCCTGGACTTTGTATGCTACCCTCTCTGTAGACTGTTTAAATATCACATCATATATTTATTATTTTATCCCTTAGATTATCACACGACCTTCAGCAGCCAATAAGAACTTCCCGTATCATGTCCGGACGTCCCAGATTGGGATACTACTGTCCAGTCCGAAAGGAGGCGAGGGGACGGAGAGCTTCCCCCCATCACGCCTATGGAAACAGCTCCTTCCTGGGAGACTCTCAACCCAACTTCACTGAACTGTTCTCCATTCAATCAGTGAGTCTAACTTAAGCTCTTTTCACACATGCACTCTGGATCATGTCAGCACATTCAAGCCCTGATATTTTCAGGAACTCGCCTTCACACGTGCACCTCACAGGATTAGATTAGGAGGATTTCTGGGTTCATATTACTACAATATGTATTAGCACACGGTATAATTACACCCATGTCGAGCAGTAAAGAGTATAAAGCTGCAAAACTCGACTTGAATACTTTCATTGCCACGTCCACTTATTTATAATTAAATGTCCTGACTAGACTATTATCTGCTGCTCTCACACTTGAATTACCTTGAATGCTTGCTGACATATTACCAGGAGGCATGGCAGGAACATTTTGGATAAAGTAAAAGTAAAGATTTTGTGCCTTGGCTTTTGGCTCTGCCTGAGAGTTGGCTTTTATTCCTTTTATTATCCCCCCCCCCCCTGTCTTTACACTTTTTACTTTTTATGTCCTGCTGTTTTTACATTGGTTTGTGTTTTCATTGGTTTTAGGTTTGATTGTAAAGCACTTTGGTCAGCTTTTGTTGTTGTTAAATGAGGTTTTATCGTGTTTTTGGAAGCTAGCTTGAGCAACAAAAGAAAAAGTTAAAGAAGTGTTATGGATAGATTCCCAAGGAAACTAGGTCACAGGTTTCCTTGCTCATCAGGAGCTATTGACTGCACCTGTGATGTTCTCCCTCACCTGGTGGCTGATGACAATCAGCTGGACTGGGAGGCTATAAAGGGAGGCTTAAGTTTACCTGATCAGTTGGTTGTGTGTATCAAGAGAGTCAACACCATCAGTTGGCTTTCTGCACGTTTGTTTTTGACTGAAGGTCTCAGTTGTGTGTGTTTCTCTCCTTATGTTTGTCTATCACTTTGACAGAATTAGTGCGTGCTTTCAAAGGCTCTGTTCTTTCACCTTAAAGAAACCCAAGGCATGTGGTACCTGTTTGTAAAAGGTGCATTGTTTCGTTAGTTCCCCAACTTCCGAGCTCTGTCCTTCAAGATTTTGTTTTCTAGGGGGGGAACGAAACGGAAGTGAAAACAGATTATTAATTCACGTCTATTTAATCTTCCCAATTTATTGACACATGAAGTAAATGACAGTGCAAAAACAGGTGAAGGCATTAGAATTAGACTTGTGGCACATTCACAGTATATGTGTCTATATTCACTTTAAACATCCCCAAACCATTTAACAGTGTTTGAGTTATGAAATTAGATTTCTCTAAGTGGAACTCCTTTTTTGATGCTTTTAAAATGAGAACGTCTGCGTCAAAGCTAGCTTGAAATGAACCACAGTCTTATGTGAAACAAGAGGAGTCAGATTAAAAGCCTCAGTGTCACACTGAGGTTTGAAAGGAGACATGATTTCGAGGACCATCGCTGTCTCTTCCTGTGGGCTTTTCGACAATGAGCAAAGCACAACTTAACACATGCCCTGATATGAAAACACACGGGGAACCAGATGAAGGTGTCCTGTTAGCTGTGATGATTTGTCTATGTTGGGGGGACTTTCAAAACTGCACTTTTACATACTGCATAAAAATGAGTGACAGAAGATGTGCTCTGAATCTATGACTTTACACACAAAACATGCAGACATTAGCAAAAAAAATATTTTACATGAAAAGAGAAACCTTAATGCCTGGTGCAGAGATGACAAAATACATAGAATCTTAAAGTCATGACAGGAAAAGTGTGCAGCACCTTTTAAGATAAACAGACAACCTGTAGTTTATGATATTAAAGGAAATTCAAACTGAAAGTAGTCGTTGTAATGTAGCCCACAAGAAGTAAAAGTTCAGTAGAGCAATGAAGCAGTTTTTCATTTTACATTGGGGAATGTATGTGGATAAAGAAAGTTGGTTCACTTGTTGCTGTGGTGTAAAGAAAACAAATGAATTGTCTGACTTCCTTTAGGCCAGTGTTCAAAGAAGTTATGTGCTTTGTTCCTCAGGTTCTTGTTCGAAATCTAGCACGAAAAATTGCTGCGCTTGCTGCAGACATCTAATTACACTGTGAGACTCTGGCTGCTAACCGTACAATTAAACAACATGATTTTCTACTTGGCCTTTAGTCTTAATAAGCCTGTTATCAAGGTGGGCATTAAGAGTTTCCCTTTTGTGTTGCTTAATAAAACACACTGTCTCTCCTTTTGTTTAAGTGAAAGAAATGTAGTAGTAGATAATTACTTTCAGTGACACAGTAAATCTCCATGACCAGGATTCAGGGAGAAACCAATTCAGCGGGGTGTTATGTTTAAGTCTTTATGTTTTGCAGTGTTTGGCCTGAAGCAAGATGAGGTGTCGTCCAGAAAACCTTTTACAGATAAAAACAACTTCTCCCTTCATGCCACAAATGTGGGGAAGCTTTTAAAACAGTATAAAGCAGTGTATTGAGTACAACATGATCCAAGCTGGAGGAACTTAAATCAGCCTCTGTAGACTGAAGAAACTTTGTAAAATGTTCTGATGAGGCTGTTAGTACTAAAAACCAAACTAAACACCTTACTCAAACATTGGGTTTCAATCTGACCAAAAGTCCTATTAATCAATTTAGGAAAATAGTCATTTTTATAACCCTGGAATGTGCATCCAGTATTATATTTGACTGTGTACATGTATTTAGTTGTAAAAAGCTACCTTCATAATTTTCCAGCAATATCTGCCAGGGTCTACCATCATAAGGTTCCATGATCTAAAGTTTGTGGAAAGTTTAGTGAACTGGAGGTCAGGAAACCTAGTACAGGTGTCATTTTACCCAGCCTGTAAAAGCAACATGGCATCGGTGAGTTGTATTGGAAACTGTCCAAATGTGATGTATATGTATGGTGTTACTGATACAGTGTCTGACCCATATGACACTTCTGTGACCTCCATCCAGAGGATTACAAAGGTCAAAAGTTCAAAACCCCCATCTTCTGTCCTCCAGGACCCAGTAAAGACGGTGGAGGAGACGGTGGCCCGTAAAGGACCTGAGGTACCGAGGAACAGCGAGCAGAAGATAATCACCACAGCAGCAGACCTGACATCGATACTGCCCCCACCTCCACCTCCGATACCCCCACGCCTGGCCACACGCTCGCCACCCTTACCACCCCGTCTCCCGTCCTTTACAGAGTATTTCAGCATGCAGAGCGGTGGCGGAGGAGGAGGAGGGGGAGGAGGGGGGTTTGGAACAAAGGCATGAGACTGAGACAGAGACAGAGAGAGAGAGTTGGGATGGCACAACGAGAACAGACTGGATGAATGCCATTAAAAAGTAAAGTAAACGTCAGAGTGGAAATCAAGGTTTTTCTGTTTAAGACGAAAGAGACGGCCAAAAAAAAAAAAAGTTTGGATGGAAGACAAAGAGAAATCATCAGAAAAGTGATTCTCTAAATGGTCCCTTTTCAACCTGTGAATGAAAATAACCCTGAAGGATGTCAGCGGAGGTGGAAATGTCTGTAAGATAGGAGTGCTGAGCTTGTTAAATAGTAAAGAAGCAATAAATATTTAATGTTGACCAGTAAAAGGCACACAGGGAGAAAGATGACAAAGTGGATGTAGCCAGAGCAATAGAATGATATCTGTGCACGGTGCGGAAACGAACAAAATCCTTGAAATGCTGTTATTCAAACATTCATGAGGCATTGATGGTATGCCTGGAAGAGTTTGTAAATAGCTTAAACAGGAGAGAGCTTCTACTCTATATAGTTTTATTTAAAAAAAAAAAAGGAAACCTTTTTCATGTTTTTTTTCCCCCACATTATTAAATTCCAGTCGGTGCTGTGAACATCAGAAGAATCTCATGCCATTATGTTTATGTAAAAAAAAAAACATTTTTGGAAATGTTTGACACATTTTGATAAACCATAGATATTTACTCTTAATGGAGTTTGTTGGATGAATTCATACTCTTCTATTTCTACTTCATTGCAGCTGGTTATTCTGGATTGATATGCTGATGTGTAAATGTAAAATGTCACGTTTACTGTGGGCACTCGTAAAACACGCATGTTTGTATTGTATATCTCGTCCAACAAACTGATCTATGTACTCCATGTGACCATTCAATATTGGCTTATCGTGTCTATTGAAATCTATACCTTTGTATGTACATACAAAAGGCTTCAGTCGATTTTTCAATTGGACAAATTCCATTTAAAACCTTGTCGAGCTGTCAAAGTCAATCTTAAACCAGTATTATATGATATTGGTTTTGGTTGAATTTTTACCAGAGTCCAGAATATGCCTGCTTTAAAATGTCATTTCTGTGTATGTAGACGTTGGTGAATGTATTGATGCAATACAGCACAAGGACAGGGGTGATTTTCAAGTTACTGGAACACTACAATATAACATTGAATACTTGTCCTTTCTCTTTTACGGCTCTCAACTGCAACACATCCATGATATAAGAGCAGGAGGCTGCATTTCTGAATATACTACTAACTTTATCCTCACCCCTGTCTACTACCTGAAACCTGAGTATTTGTTGGTCTAATCTTATTGTTAAAAGCTAAACAAATATAAATAGTTTCATATTCCCTGACATTGAGCTAAAAAGAAGAAAAAAAAAAAAGCCTTGTAGATGAACTGTGAAAATGGCAACACACCTGTACATTTTGTCTGTCCTGCATGGAGCACTTTAATGTTCCTGGTCTTAGTCTGTTTATTCGTGATGATGTCACTTTTCTACGACTGCTTTGAAACCAGTATTCACACCCAGTAGTGTTCAAGATGCATAAGCCTGTAAATACAGTCTGAAAATGACCACTAGCTGCCCGGACATTTGAAGGAACGCATCATGCTTAGCCAACTTAAATGAATATTGAAAATAAGTTGATGATAAGTCATGTAAGAGTGTCATTGAAACAGTTTATCACCAGCTGTCTACAACTGCAATTCAGAGACTAAAAATATCAGTGAAAGAAAAATAACAAAAATCACCTGTTTTATCTGCATCATTCACTGGATTAGTAGAAGTGGTGGTACTCGTCTAATTGACTATATTCACACAAAGGCCATTTACCTCTAATGTCACACTCTAATTGGGAAGCTCATATGCTGTTATAATGTTGTCCTTCTATTTCTCGTTATCCAACACAAAACCACATTAGCTACCATCAGAAAAAAAAGCTAACCTTAGCATCCAGCCAATCTAGCTAGCAATACCATTAGCAAGGAAGTAGCATCATGTTGACGTTAATCTATGAACGTGTTGAATGATACAAGAGGAATGGGATAAATTTGTCACTAACGCTGATGTTGGGGCGCTGTTAGCCTGCGGTTATGTATGGAGGCTATAGTCCCCATGGCAACGGCTGTGGGTTCAAATCCAGCCTCGACCCTTTGAATGCTAATGGTAGCTGTTTTCTGATGGTGGTATCAGTGGTTTAGAAATAATATTTGTTAATACATGATGAAGCATAGATTTCTATAATTTTGTCTCGGTTAACATTGGACCTAATACTGTCTGGTATTAAGTTAAAACATCTGAAGTGAAGCCCATCAGCTACTATTAGACAAAAGTGTATCTAAGCTTTCAGCTATTTGCTACCAAACATTACGATTGGCTAGGAAGGGGCTGCACGCCAACCCTGCTTTTTAAAGTCTTCAATGTTTAAATAGGAATGTTATAAAATCCTAGCTAGCGCTTATGTTTGCTGAGAAATGGTGGAATGCTAATATTAGCTGCCCTCTTATTGTAACTTATCTGATATTAAATGTTTTAGCTGAATCACGGTCTTGATTTAGTCTTTGTAGGTGCTTATCAATTTGGAGTTGGTTATGTCCATCTTTCAGCCTCCTGATAAATGTGAAAAAAACTGACGACACAGCAGAGTACAACATTATAACAGCATTGGAGCTCCCCACCCTGTGGATGATGTCAAGGGGAAAGTAGCCGCTGTGTGAAAACAGTGAATACTCCACTTATTCATCAGTGACGATCTTGCTGTAATGGAGAACTTTAAGATGTTAGGATTGTGGTGTGTAACTTGTACAGGTGTAGTCAGAGGTGTAAACGTGAAACAGAATGATCCTTGAATTGCAGTATAAATCATTATTGTGGATCATGTGTGGTTAATATTAGGCATATATGCCATTTTGTCTGCTGTTGCCTATTGTTACGGTTGCCATGACTTGACTGAATAGAGGCTGGGTGACTCGGCTAACAGACGCGACTACTGATACTGCATCACTGCTTAAAACTTGTGTGTAGATTGACACACAACAACGGGACTGAGAGACGCAGGGGAGAGACGTTGAAGAAAAGAGATTATGTATGCATGACAGAAAACAGCACAGCTTTTAGGCGACTCAGATCTGGTTAAGAGCACATCTCTCAAGCACTGTTCAAATGCATTTTAATGGTGTCAAATGACAATTCTAAATATGCTGTACATATGACTTTTTGCCAAAATAATAAAAAATTCTGGTTTTATTAGAGTGTGTGTGTGTGTGTGTGTGTGTGTGTGTGTGTGTGTGTGTGTGTGTGTGTGTGTGTGTGTGTGTGTGTGTGTGTGTGTGTGTGTGTGTGTGTGTGTGTGTGTGTGTGTGTGTGTGTGTGTGTGTGTGTGTGTGTGTGTGTGTGTGTGTGTGTGTGTGTGTGTGTGTGTGTGTGTGTGTGTGTGTTATTTGGCTGTGTTTTTTGCTTTCGAGACAGGAAGAGGGCACGTGTCCAGAGGAGTCTGTGTAATATCCGTAAATCATATTTAGTGTGTTCTCATTACAAGAGTTCATTAAAGTAAAACACCACGGGACATAGTCCAGGCTGGTCACAATCTGATGTAGGCTGGCCTCATTATTTCACAGCGACTGCCAGTATCCCCTCTCTGTGACTGCTGAAGTGCAGAGTCGCAACACACTCGTGTTTAACAGCAACATTTGAAAATGGATTCGGTCTCGCTGTCACAGCAGTCTAAGAAGAGGAAAAAAAAGTCAAACATTTTAGCCTTACATGATTTGTAACAATTTGAGTTCAGGATTTAATTTATGTCAGAATTATTCTTTTATATCATTTTTCCATTCACACAGAATTAAACTTCATACATTTTTCAGTGAGAAACCTGTACCACTGATGAGGCTTTGAATATCAGTACATAAATATACTGATATAATCCTAATGATATAAATTAAATATATTTCCTTGTACAAAAAATCAATACACATTGATAGATTCACCAATAACAATGTATTTAATATACATTTTCTCATGCTTTTTAGGAGTGAGTTTTTGAAACTTGATCCAAACAACAAAGACTTCAGATGATTTGGTATTTGCTGCAAAAGGAGACCTCACATCATTGAAGTGCAACTTAAATTTGTTTAATGAACGCTTTCATAAGTACAAGAGACCGCTGCTGTTGTGTGTAAGCCAGCATCATGGGGACAACACAACAACCTGCTGAAGTGTTTGAAGTAGGACCCGACTGATATGCGATATTTGGGCCTCATACCGATATTCGGGAGAAAAAAAAAAAATCAGATACCGATATATCCACCAATATCTCTCTTAGATCAATCTGCCATCTTATAGATATACACATTTATTGCCTTGATCCCTTAAATGCAGTAATCACACGTGTGGAAAAGATATAGCATAAAAATAAGATGGTCACTTAACTGGAAAGTAACTGCATATGTACGTGCGTCACTGCGAGACACTCTGGCGCAGGGGTCTCCAACCTTTTTTTCATCTGAGAGCTACTTTCAAAAAATGAAAGTGACCAAGGGCTACTTGCATCATTCATTTATTTACATAGCTCAGCTGAATTAAGCTACTGTTTGTACATGTGTGAAATTGCAATAAGCCAATGCTTATCAATAATCTTAAATTCACATCAGTGTCCAAGAAAACATGAGTACTTCATACTTGTTTTTAATGGGCCAAATATATGAATAGTGGGAAGAGGTGCATTTACCGTCGTCAGATTTTTATTTTTAACACAGTCGGTAGGCGAGCTACTGAAAACCTGCCCGCGAGCTACCAGTAGCTCCCAAGCGACCTGTTGGAGACCCCTGCTCTGGAGAGTGATAACGCTTGTTGTAATCCATACAGCACTCTACTGGTATAAGAGAACTGCTAGTGTAATTGAATGACACTCAAATTAAATGCTATTTGACTGGTGAATAAATCTAGTAATAAAGGCGCACATCAGCGATACAATTAGCCGATGCAGATAGTCACTTGATATACTAATATCTGTCGATAATATCGGCTGGTCGGGCTCTTGTATAAAGGAAAGAGACGACGATCTTTTACTTCTGTTACAAAGAAATATTTATTAATACATTAATAATCATGAATGTCCTTGAACAGAAATATTCGTCGACTCTGAGCTCCGGAAATGGAACTGTTCTTTTTGGTGTAGATATGCATGTGTCTCTATAAGCTTCAATGTGCAGCATCTGCATGTGACTCTTCAAACGCATCTCAGCAGCACAACCGTCAGTCTGCAGCTCACTGATCCAACTTCAGGCTTCTTCTCATTAAGCTTTGGCTGCCAACTGTTGTGCCCTCTCCTCTCTGTAGCCTTTGAGCAGCTGGTTGATGAGCGTGAGTTTGTTCTCCTTTTTCACAGGATAGAGAGGAGGGAAAGGGTTGCCTTTGTATTCCAGGACGGCCATCTTGGCTTTGTCCAGGTTCTGTCTGTTCGGGATCTGAGCCATCCTCGTGTAGCCATTTGCCTGAGTCTCAAACCGTGGAGCAAGGACCTTGAACAGCTTTGGGACTAAATCCTTCTCCTGAAATGAGGGAGCAGAATCAACTATAAATAAACTCCCAGCAACTATTTGAAATTCAGAGGCAGGCAGCATGAAACTTCACACAGTTGGGAGAGCAGCAGATACGTACCGTGAGCCAAAAGCTCGCCATTTTCATCGCCTTCTCATCCGTGTCTCCCTTTTTGGCGTAGTCAACCAGCTGGTAGAAATGGAATAAGAATACACAAACAGTGAGAACTAGTGTGTGTGTGTGTGTGCGTGGGGATGATGATTTATGTTAGTCTTTAAATCAAATAATCTGGGTGAGTGTGTGTTGTGGGACTTCCTCAAGTTACAATCTTCATCAGTTTGTATGTTTGCACACATTTATAAAAAATGATTAAACCTATCACAAGGTTTGTTGTGTTTTAATCACATGTTGTACTCTGTTTGTGTAAATATTGAATATGTTTAAAGCGAGGGTGGGCAACTGGCGGCCCCCATCAACCCTCAACGTGGCCCTCAGGTCAATTTTTACACATCAATTAATTGGAAAAATGAAGAAAACATAACAAAATCATGAAAGCCAGAAATATGTCCATAATAATAATTGATCACTGGTATATGTTGAGTTAAATCTGAGACATAATTGACTGTAATCGTTTTTTGTATGCTACAATTTGGCCCTCTGGCAGTGAGAATTAAATGAATGTGGCCCTTGCTGGTTCAAAGGGACACATTTTGTGTATTAATCAATCAGTAATATTTTATCATTTGTAACATTTTCATCTGAGAGGACTTCCAGGAAAACATAAGGCTAACAATGAATCTACAGCAGACGTCACTACAACTAAAACAAAGACAAGAGAATAAGTTACATCTCGGCCTCTGCTTCACCTGTATGATGGTAGGTAATGACGGGAGCCACATTCCTTCCTTTCACTACATCTTATCTCTGAGAGATGTTTTTTTTTTTTTTTTTTTTCTGCAGTTGCCTCAATCATCACAAAACACAGATCAAAGCTGGACATTGAAAATGAAGTCAGAGTGTCAGTCTAACAGCTTCACCCCAGACCTGAGAAGATCTGTAGCAGAAAACAAGACCACACCGGGGCGGCTGTGGCTCAGTTGGTAGAGTCGTCTACCGCCTCTCAACCGGATGGTCGAGGGTTCAATCCCCAGCTGGGCCACATGTCCAATGTGACACGAGCAAGACACTTAACCCTGCATTGCTCCCACTGCTTCAGTGGCAGTGTATGAATGGGATTAGTTACTTCTGATGGATGATACTATATAGCGATCACTACCATCAGTGTGTGAATGGGTGGGTGTGACCTGCAGTGTAAAAGCACTTTGAGTAGTCAGAAGACTAGAAAAGCGCCATATAAGCTCAAGTCCATTTACCATTAACTAGTCAAACTATTGCATGACTACATGAAAAAGTTGTTGTCCCACATTATAGGTCAAATAAAACTTAAAAAGTTTTAAAAATGATCATGTCTGTGTTTAAACATTGCTTTTTTTAATGCATAATGTACACAACTAAAACTAATTGTATTTAAATAGTTGAATATTATCAAGCCACTGAGTTTAAATAATTCTAATCTTAATTATTGACTATTTCAACTTTGAGGAGAAAACCTTCAACAAGTATTTCGTTGCTGACACTTTGTCTTAACAACATTAAATGATTTATCTTGTATAACAGTGTTGCATTAGCTTTTTTTTTTTTTACCTTTTCAGCGTAGAAGCGGACTTCGTCAGCTCGTGCATACGTGGTTTCTATCCTCTCGTGCCGGACCAGTCCTGTCAAAATGTTCCGAAGCATGTTGATTCGGGACTGCGGACCCAGACCCATCTTCCGGGCCACCCGGCCGTGGGAGATCAACATCGCCAACGTGAGACGCATCTTGTCCGCTCAGATTCGCCTGCGAGAGTCCCCGAAGATAAAACACCGGGAAACAGGTTTACGTACACGACGTGAAGGCTGCAAGTTACGGTGACCTTTCTCCGCAGAGTTCAACTCAAACTACGGCAGTCACCTCGGAATAAGACCAAACTCTGAGGTCGGCTATGTCAATGCGGAGTTAATGGGGGGGATTGTCATTGCTGGTGCTTCGTCAAATGTGTCCGACGCAACAAAGGCAAAGGCAAGTAAGTTCCGCTAAACTACCCCCACAATCAGACACGTTAAAAACAAGAGCAGAAATATCTGGAATCTTGTGTATGTATGTTTTTATCTGTTTTCTAATGGACTCCTGAGTCTGTCAATAAATGACGATGATACTGCTATATGTTAACATAGTCAAAAATAGGTTTATTTGCTTATAATATGCTTCTAATATGTCTACACTCATGCACTTTAACTTATGTCAATACTGTCCATTTATAACTCTGTTTTTGCACATTTACATTCAATCTTCCATATTTAATCTTCCTAGTTAAGACTAGTAATGCTTAGTTAAATCCTAGTTGTACATATTCACATTCTTATTTTTTATATTTTTTAGTATTTATTTACTTTGCATTTAATATTATATTGTGTTTAGATTTGCTAACATTGTGTTTTTTACTCATATTGTGTGTTGGATAACCTGCTGCTGTAACGCCACAATTTCCCAGCTTGGGATCAATAAAGTAATTCTATTCTATTCTATTCTATTCTAGGTTTCAGGGTTTATTAAGATGTAGTGCATTGAGTTTAATTCACAAGCACAGTTTCCTGGATGCAGTATTTCACAGTAGAATCAGCTGAAGGAGAAGTATTGAGCTGGCAGTAAATGGTGATGGTACTTTGCAGCCAGTCTGCGAAAATGCAGATATGATGCAAGAGAGAGGGAAATATAGATTAGGCATATTGAAAACTTTCTGTCACACCAGGTCTAAGAGAATTTCTATTTCAAGAAAGAGGAGGGAGTCATTGTTATGGAGATTGGATTTCTTCTACCTTGGCATAGACACCAGGATGGTTCTTTCTTCACAACCAAGAACCCAGGGCATGACACCCTGCAGTCTACTGAGACCACCAGTCACCCTGAGAGGTGGAAAGCAAGAAAACAGTGATCCGAGGCTTAAAGTAATGGGGTTTTAAGGAGTTTCTGAGGATAATATGAAACACAGACCTGGAAGGAGTCTTTGCCTCCTCGGTTAGGAGACGTAACACTTCTCGTTAGACAGGATGGGGATATTTGAAATGACAAAAAAAAAATGTTTCATATGTCCTTAACTTCTTTGCTGTTTTTCTGAAGAGTATTTACAGTCTATGGATGATCCTCACTCTTCCCAGGAACAGAGAAAATAACATAGACTTGGCTGGTTTGTTGGTTGGTTGGTTGGTTGATGGTAAATCAAGATGCAGAAACTTTCAATGACCCGTGTTGGATTTTCATCCGCTATATATTAACTAACTGTGCAGACATATCCCCCGGTGCAAATGACCCAATAACTTTGCCATACAACTACAATTCAGCCAAAACAGGGCTTTTATGTTTTTAAAGTAGCCTGGTTTCAGTTTGTCTCAAAATGTACACGTTGAAACCTTTTGTATTATATTTGTATGAAATGTTCTGGCCTGCTTTGATTACACAGCATGTTTTGTGCAGACTATAATGATTATCCTGACCTTGGCTCGGCCCTGGATGCAGGTCCAGGTGAGCTTTTCTCACAGAGTCAGTCAATCTGACATCTACTTCTAAAAACTGCAGGGAAATCACTCCTACTAATCTACGTAGAGCTGCTGCTTTAAAAAGATAGAGATTAAATATGATCTCCCTCTCTTTTTATTTCATTTAAATTTATCTCTGCAATTTAATTAATATACTATACGTGGGGAAATGAGAAAGTGTAATACCTTTGCATACATGTTTTATTAAATTACAACAGAACATCAGGTCAAACACAGTTACATAAAATGGCTAGAATAAACTTTCCCAATCAGTAGAATATTGATTAAAATAGTTACAGTTCTGTATTCCAGTATGAGTATATTTTATTCATCTTAAAGGGATAGGATCTCTGTCTAGTCTGTTTTGATAGTTTCCTCTTTAGACACTTCTTGTACTGCTTGTGACATCTTTCCCAGGCTTAATTCACTCAAGCAAGCCTTTTTAAGAATTTATTTTTTTCATAATAATAAACCTTCATATTCCTCAGCAGCATGTTAAATGGCACGTCTTTCATTTAACCAGTCTAAACTTAAGACAGGTTAAGAAAAGAGCTGAAAGGAAAAACAAGTTTTGACTTTTTGTTTTAATACTTTATTGACTCAGATGGAAAGTAGCTGCACATTTTTCAAAACTCTACAATAACATTGGAGTTAGAATGATCGAAGACAGGCAGCTGAGTAAGATGAACGTCACATGATCAGACTTAGTTGCTGGCCATGGTGCTCTCCAGCCAGTCGTTGAAGAGGCAGACCTACAAACAGAGACAGAACAAGGTTTTAGCACAGCAGCTTCAGTGATAACTCATTACTGGGCACTTGTGCATATTATGAAGAGATATTTTAGGTGTACCTTGGCGTAGACACCGGGGTGATCTCTCTCGGCACATCCGTAGCCCCAGGACACAACACCCTGCAGCTGACCGTTGCACACGACGGGGCCACCAGAGTCCCCCTGAGAACAGAGAGTGAAGGATTTCAAAGGTTTAATAAACCTTCAAAGGCCAAACAAGATAATTCACATAGTTATTCCTGTATTTCTTTCTGAACATTAAATGACATACCTGGCAAGAGTCCTTGCCTCCCTCCAGGTATCCAGCGCAGAACATGGCGTCAGTGATCATGCCGGGGTAAGAGTTATCACAATCCCTGTCGGACAGGATGGGGATGTTCAAGCACTGCAGCTTGTTGCCGTCAGCACCTGAGAATCAACAGAGAAATGCAGAGATCAAAATGGAGCTACAATGCATTACAGACCTACAGATTAAGAAGTCAATGCAGCATTAGTTACTCACTGGAGCTCATGGTGTTGCCCCAGCCGGCGACTTTGCACATGGTGCCAGCGGGGGCACAGCTGGTGGGCAGAGCCACAGGCGTCACGTACTGGTTGAGGGTGGCGGACTTGCTCAGCTTGATCAGCATGATGTCGTTGTCGATGTTGTAGGAGCTGTACCTGGGGTGGCGGATGACGCGGGAGGAGCTGATGAACTGCTCGGTTCCCTCGTTCACCCTGATGTGGTGCTCTCCAAGACGAACCTCAATACGACTAAAAAAGAAAGAGAAGTGGGGATTAGAAAAAAGCACACAGAAATGATTATAAATAATGAAGCTGCAAACACCTGAAGAAAACATGAGGAATGTACTTACGACTTGTAGCAGTGAGCAGCAGACACAACCCAGTCCTCGTTGACCAGAGAGCCTCCACAGAAGTGGTAGCCAGACTGCAGAGAGACCGTATGGGCTGGGAGTGGGGGGTGCACTCATACCCTCCGACGATCTTGTCGTCGTCGATGGCGACTAAAAACAGACAGGATGGAAACAACCAAGATTACTTTTTTCAGATTTCAGTGATTAGAACTAGTTGATAGAAGCAGAAGATTGGGTTCTTACAAGCAGCTCCGATGAGCAGAACGAAGACCAGAGACCTCATGGTTGCTGAATGATCTTGTGGATGAGGGACTTTGGTTGGAGTTCTGGTTTATATATGATTGTTCCTCTTCTGAGACACACCCAAAAGGTTATTTTGGACCAATCAGGAAGATCCTGAAAAAAATATTTTGGTCCTGGAAAAGTAAACATTTGCCTAGGTGTGGGATGGTGCACTGATACACTGCATGTGTTAATCTTTAGCAGTCTGTTTCAAGGAGCATGGAAAATGTTTTTATGATTAATATTTTTGCATTTAATGAAAAATCCTTTTTCACATGAGATGTACTTGCTGATTAGATGCATAATGCATGTTTGTCCTTTAAAGGATTTTTTAAAGAACAAAAACTGCCATTATTCTTTGTATTACATACTCTGCAATTATGCATTGTGTACTTTCATGTAGGCAACACTCTTTTTAAGGGAATTTTGCGTTTGTGTTAAAGCAAATGATGTTTTAGGGAATGGTTAACCTTGACATGGATGGATTTGCGCTGTAAAGACATGCTTTCAACTCTGCAGATGGCCTGGTTCACAACCACTGTTGTTGATTGTGGCTTTTACAGGAAAAAGCCAGCCGGAGGAAACACAAGAAAAGGTGATTTACTATAGTGCCAGCAGGCGAACAACACAGAGACAAAAAAAAACAATTACTGTTTGAAATCACCAATGAGAACGATACTTAGTGAATAAACTTCAAATTGGATTGCATTGTTTGTTATTTCTCATCGACACAGACTTGTTTGTTGATTCTTGATGTACACAAAAGGTTGCTGTGAGGCTGAAAACTTCAGAATTATGAACAACACCAAGAATTAGAACAAATTCATCAAACGCTCAATCAATCACTTTCACATCAGACATGAGGTACATTCTACTTTATCAGATGTTATAACAAAGTGTTGCTGCAAATTTCTACCAAGGATAAGCATGAATCACATGGATTATATTGGACGATGAACAAAGAGAGGAGCAGGACTCCTTAAAAAAATTGATTTCCGTGCAGTGCTTAGATGGACCTAAATTGTAAGTATTCTTTTCAGTCACAGAATATGATGTTGAGAGGTTAATATGTTTTATACAACTAGATTTGCTAACACAGAAATATAAAGGTCATTGAAAGTGACTGTAATATGTTTCATAGAAACCACCTTCAACCTGAATGTGCAGCCTGTGGATCGTCCCATCGTCTGAGGCAACATGAGCTCAAGAGAGTATAAACAGCTACATGAAACAGCCTCAGATATATGAAACAGTTCAAATGAACATTTGAAGGATCTTTAACACTTCGTCCTTCCTGCACACTTTTCTTTCTTGCTGCAGTCTCTGAAGGTAACACACTGTAGTGTGGTGAATCCTTATCCTATGAGGACTGTCATGGTTACCCTGGTCACACCTTATTACTATTACTCTGTTCAATGATACTGGTAACAATGACTATAGTCTTTCAATGATCAGGCTGTATGCAGACTGAATGGTTTCACAGCATAATGATGGGCCAATTACCGTACTCCACCATTCAACCTGCTCATCTGAACTCAAC